GATTATTATAAAACTAAAAAAAAATTTTAGGAAATTTTCTATAATTGCGAAGAAGTTAAGATTTTAGTTTGGCTTTATTTGAAGTTCTCATTTATGTTACATAAACAATCAGTACTCACAATTCTAAACTGACTTTAAAACTATTATAAATTCTGCGATTGATCCTTCTTCATTAAAAGTTAGTTCAAAATTCAAACTTAACGATACCAATAAGAATTTCTTAAAATTGAATTTTAGATAATCAGATTTTTTAGAAACCTAAATTTCAGAATACTAATAATAAGATCAGGATTGAATATGTGTATATGTATAATACATGAATTCTAATCTCACAGAACACACATACGATTAAATATATATGTCTGTTATTTTATAATTTTTTTATACAATTAAACGTTTTAACAATTTTTACGTTATTATATCTAACGACCAATAATGACATAAAAATTGTATCCTTTTTTATGCTATACTTTCAAGTGTTCCTTACTTATTGAAAGAGATCATAAACTAAACAAAGGTCAGCAAACAAGCCTCGTGGATCAATTAATAATATGACAATGGCTTCTCCCGATTACAGTCACGCCGATGACTCTTACATTTTCATATGCGTATACGCATGCATGGGACAGGTGGAAGAATTTGCGGGCGTATATGTATATATGAAAAACGTGGAACATTGCCTCCTACCATGACCCACTGACATACAAATAATGAAATAATGAAATGTTCTTCTGTCGTTATTAAATATATTGTTACAGATGCCTTATTATATTTTTATTCGTGAGATTAAAAGCGATTGACGCAGTTCTTGTATCTTTTTTGTTTTTTAATAGACAGAATCTTATATCTCTCGCATATCTTTGCGACATTATATAATTGAAAAATATTACTGAAGAAATTCGATGTCAAGGTTCAACTCAAAATTATAAATGTTTCAGTTTTTCTTTATGATGGCTTCGGAATGTGTTTCAAAAATGTCGAAATGCAACGAAATTTAAAAGTATGCGAGATATTACCTTTATACTGAGATCTCAAAACTTATTTTATAGCTATATTTAAACTGCAATAAGTTCCCTGGAAATATTTTATCATTATACAAAAATAACACTTCGCGGATTCATGACTCATCGAATCATGAAATCGTTACATATTAATGTATATATAATTATTATAATTTTTCGAAGCAGGTTATACCTACTTTATGTTCCTCATGGAAGCAATTTAATTTTTGTATGCAAACTAAATTTTTAAAAGTGTATTTGATTTTTAAAAAATTATAAATTTGTACTACAAAAAATTTATCAACCGACGTTTAAATGTGTAAGAAACTTTAATTTCTAAATTTTTAATCTTTTTGTTATTGGAATTAATTTAATAATGCATAATATTTTTCTGAAAGGATCCCTTTATTAAAAAATCACGTAAATATGAAAAGAAAATTTTAAATTCGATAATTACTAATAAATGTAGTGTTATTAGATTTAATTCTTAATATGATAACATACTTAATACTTAATGATAACAAAATAGCAAACGTTTATAAAAGATGACAAGTAAGAACAAAATAGCATTTATAATTATAATCTGTGAGTTAATAGAGAATTTAAATGGATTTTATATAAGTTTATTCTGCGAAAGCATTTGAAAATGTTTATTGTTAGCATTTAATAAGAAAACGTTTTCATGTCTATTTCTGCGTAATAGTTCGGTCAAGTTGTCCAATGAAAATTGACGGCGAGTATTTGTTATAAGCAAACAGCTTAATCGGTATTTAAAAGCGCATAATTGTGTCCCATGCAAGTATGTGTGTTAATTTTACAGTTATTTTTGTAAAATTGCAATTTGCAATCTTGTGATCATGATTGTTGATTAGTACTACGCGTCAAAAAAATATGGCTGACAACGGCGCCTTGTCGTAATTACAGACTGATGAGCAGAAAAGACTATCGAAAGGAAATAATCTTGTTTACGCAATTCCAGTAATTGAAATACAATCACTGAGATCGCGTCAGAAGAATGATTTAAGCGGGTAATGCAATTTATTACTTCACCTTACGCGTCACCTCAATTACTCTCGAAATTTTCATTCTTGTCATATCAGTAATGAATGAATTTATTATATACAATATGCGTTTCGGTTTTGTGAGCACAGCAAGTTAGCTACTCTCTGAATGCGGCGGATGTCCGGTACAAATTTTTCATATCTTTCTCCCTCTGCAACTTATTTTATATTCCAAGGAAATATTCTGGTTTTGTAATTTATCAGTTTGACATGTGTGCATCATTTGTTAAACGCACAATAAAAACTCGAATATCTTATTTTGAATGTTATATTTAAAATGTATCTAAACGTTTTACATATACCGGATAAATATCCGCAAAATATAATTTTGTAATATTAACATAACTTATGACATAAGATTTTATGATTAATCAGAATGTCAAATTCTAATAAATGAATTATTCATCTTCTATTTAAATGGAAACAAATGACGTACATTCATCGTACAGTTCTATTATCAAACAATAGTTGACGTATCCACTTTATAACATAAACTACTTTTCACTCTGACCCTATTTGCACTGCATCCGTTGGAAACGTATGGATATTCATTTTACATTTAGTCATTGTTTCTGAAGTTGAATAATGAATTGCATTCTTAAATGCCATTTTAAGATAATTCTAATCCATTAGTTTGATTATTTTCATGTGTAAATTTATATTTGGAGAGATAAAATGCAAAAAGTATTTAAATTATAGAACAAATCAAATCGCTTTTGATTTCCTATTATCGTATTTTCTATTAACGATCAACCGATATCTGATTTTATTATAAAGATTAAATTCACGATCGGGGAACATTTCGCGTGAGGAGCGTATCTTCAAAACTCATAAAATCGATTTAACCGTGACATACTTTTCGCTAATTCCTTAGTCGGTTTCAAAGTGTATACATCGTTTACGATTTTATAGAATGATCTAGTTATTACCGATTGTACGCTCGTACTAATTCTATTGATGCAAAGTGGACCACTCATTGAAAGTAAAATTGTGAAATGATTTATCTATAAAGTTCATCCCTCTTTTTAACAAAACTTGTTTTGCGTGCATCTGTCATGAGGTGACGTATCATCGATTTATTAATATCCATGATACTTTGAAATTAAAATAAACTATGATATTTCTTAGTGATCATGTATAGAAACTAATATTGTGGTATTGAAGAAGTGCTGATATTTCTCAATCGTTTAAATTTAAAAAGACGTTTGAAAAGAGAAAAGAGTATACACGATACTTTGAAGTTCATTCACACCAGGAAGTATTGGTAGAGCGTACTTGGAAATGAAAGAATTTTGCTCGTTTTTGTCGTTTGAGAATGGCAAATTCTTACATCGTTACTGTGATTTATTAAACAAAGTGTATCACAAATATTTACTGCTAATTCTTAGAATACGAAGCACTTGATACATAAGTTTCATGTGAACGTAACTGCTTTATGTCCTTTTTTTATAACGTTCGTGCATTGTGAATAATTTATTATAATGTAATAAAGAGATATGAAGAAATAAAACTATTTTTTTCAAAGTCATAATGCTATCATATTATATCATACAATTTTATGCAAATTATCACTCATACGAATATCATGAAGTTAGCTTTTAAAGAAATTAAAGACTTTGTTCAAATTGAATAGTAGATTTTCACAGTGAAGTAAAAATTATTATTAGAAATATCACACATGAAATAACATAGCTGTATAACATAGGATCGTCTAAACTAAATCAATGAGTATAAGACTATTCCGGTAAATACGCCGCAGATGTCAGAAAAAGTAGAAAGAGTGGAATTTTCCCGCAACTACTCTGTTACATGTCTTTATGTTATATTAGTATTGTGTTATTTCAGTTTCTTACTATTAATATTAATAGAAATTATTGAATTAATTTGTTACTGTGTTAAGTAGCGTTATCATAAATTATAATCTATGTAAAATGATTATTGTAGGACGCATAAAAGACTTAGTGATTATTTCGTGATATCTACATGTAGAGGAATAGTAAAGCGTATTGTAGTAAAATATAAGTGCTTTGCTTTCGTATTTTTTGTTTGTTATCTTGTATATCCCACTTGTTTGGGACATATAGCATTTTTAACAGACTTAATGCCCAATTTATGCCCAAAGCATACAAAGTGCGCAGATTGAATTCAATGCACTAAATACAATAAACGCATTGAGGTACATGAAATATGTATCTCATATCAATACTATAATACATCTAAGCTTGTAATTATTATTTATCCCTTCATATTTATTCATATATTTATCATTCATATATTTATCAATTATATATTTATTATTCTTATTTCTTAATAAAACTTTATAAACACATTTTATAAGTTATTCATGTCATTTTATGTCTTATTTATTATGCATTATTTCTTATGTATTATTTGTAAATTTTTTATGAACTATACTCCCCTCCTCTTCCCCTATAAATAATCATATTAGGTGTAGTAAAAAGAAATCCATTATTTTTGCATGAAATTGAATGGAAAAGTAATGGATTTCTTTTTACTACACCTAATATATCCCACCCCTATGGAATATACGGCAAAAATGCAAGGATTTAAAAAAGTTCATTTTTTAATATTATATGAAATATAAATTTTGGATTTCTAATATTTTTTTCATAATAGTAGACAGTACAAAGTTTTTACTGATAGTTCATTTTCTTTAAACATAGTAAATAATACTTAATAAATTAAGTTTTTGATAGATGCGGCATATATACCGGCGAAGTTACCCTATATTATCTTATATAAATCGACGATTTTATACTGGATGCTCAGTTCAGACGATTTTGTGCTACGCTATGTATATACTATACTATACTATATTTATGCATTGAGTGCTATAACTCTTATATTTGTTTATATAATTAATCTAAGTAAATCTAGTTTATATAATTAATCTAAGTAAATTCTTTGTTTTTTGCAGATGGCGTGGCTCCGTTTACAAGCTTATCTGGCGGGAACTACTGGCGTACCTGTTCTTCTACTACCTCATCAATTTTACATATCGATACGTGCTTAATGAGCACCAGCGGTTGTGAGTACACGAATATTCCTGGAACAAAATGATAATTCCCATAAATTCCATTCTTTATGAGGGAGCGGGCGGCTAAGGAAACTTCAAACAAGAAAAGAAACGTTTCGAAGTAAAATGCATCTTTGTACGTTAATATTAGAGCGACGAAGCACATCTTTTCATTAAATTTGTTTTTCGTATTCGGTGACAATTATTCCCGGTCATAATTTAATTCTATACAATCGCCTCGGAGGAAACGTAGGAAGCATAATATTGAGTTTAGTGGATTAAACGCAAGGAGATGCGGGATAGAAAATATGTTCAATGTATGTATAAATAATTTAAGCAGACAATGTTTGTCTCTTGCAAAGGAAACAGCGATTTAATCCTGCACTTCTTGTTGTTTACTCGTTTCTTATCACGAATAATGCCAAATTCAACGATCAGCTAGCTGGTGCGTGAGCGTACCTGCTATAACTGTATTTTATGGACGTAGATAAACCTGTACAATATCAACCTTGGCCTGCCAACAAATCTGAAGGTTCCAACATTTTGATCACGGTCGCATGCATATCATCGATTAATATAAAAAAAATTATAATTCCTTCCTTTTCTTAGTTTTTATTATTGTATTTTTGTCAAGCACATTTGATAATCTTTCCTTCGTTTACCTTCGTCATATTCGATCGATTCGACAGGAAAAGGACATCACATATATCAGTAAATAGTAAACTACAAATAAATATATAAAATGTTTATTAAATTTTAATAATATTAAAAGTGTTATATAATTCCTCGAGTTCTTAAGTATTCATTACTTTGTATATTACTTTCTGTATGATAATCTGTTTATGATAATCTGTTTGTCTGTGAAATTAATGGTAGAAGGTATTTATCTTTAGTATAATAATATATTCTATCTTTAGTAATATAAAATACATCTTTGGATATATAAAAAATACATCTTTGTTTTTACCGCAAAATAATTAGACAATCGCTGCGTGTGACTTGTACTCAAGGATAATTAATGAACACCTACAGTAAATGCAAACGACTCTTTAACTGCAAATATAATTACGATACATATTTAAATAGTAATACGTAATACGATATAAGATACTTAAACTTAAAAATATTGCGATTGTATATAGATGATGTTATTATTACTTAATAAATTTATAATTAAAAAAATATGTATCTAAACAGATGCAACAGTTTCCTTTAAGATTTACTTAAATCTTATACTTAAATCTTTAAATAATAATGCAATTAAAATCACTAATTATTTACAATACGATTTTTAAAAGAATTCTTTTGGTGCATCTTATACAAGAGATATACATGAAACGTGTTTAACAGGAATTCGTGTCTGACATTAAAAAAGGACATAAAACCATAACCTGTTATTTATGTTGGGCTGAAAAAGGGGGATAAAGAAGTGCCAGAAGAAAGCGCAAGGATGTAAAAAAAATTTCTCTTTTAAATCGCTTCGATTCGTCCGCGCTAAATTTAGAACTGTAAAGTGGCTTAAGGCAGGTTTAGGATCCAGGCGAAAGACTAAAATAAACGATTTAGTATTACTGAATAGGACTAAGAGGACTGCGCGGTAAGATCATTCTTTATTAGGATTTCTTTTGTCCTCAAAGTTATCTGAAAATTTGCTTTTTTTAGACTATGAAATACGCTTCATATACCGTCTTAATATATCGTCGTTAAAAAAATACTTTTTTAAATTATCAGATTATTTTATTGAACATGTCTTGAAGAAAGTATTTGATATTGCTGTGTCATTATTCGAATTATTATACATGATGTCAATATCAGTTCCTTGTGGCCATGATATTGTACGTTCAAGTAACGGTAAGTCAATATTACTTCAAGAGTGCGAATGCGGTGCTATTCGCGGAAATTCCAACATAAACCTACTTACTGAAAGATCCTGGAATCGCCGTGTTAATCGTTCAGAATTGATGTGTGAAGTCGTAAAAATAAAGGCTACTTCTATGCGTGGTGATTACACTCTTCTTAAAAAAAAAATAGCCCGTTGCAAGGCAATAACCGATATTGATGAACGAAGAATAAGGAATTCAAAAAGGACAGAAAACGCTTTCGATAAAGCGATTTGCGCTTTCGCTTGCGATCAATCGTGAAAACGAAATATAAATTAGCATTTAATATTAATTCACATTTATCAGCGTAGGCTGATAATTCGTCGAATATGCACGAGTCACGCATCTCAACCTTGCTCTACTTATACGCGAATTTGTTAAATAAAATTTTATTTAACTTGTAAGAAACTTTAAACAATATGTAAATATCATACAAATCTTAAATGAATTAGTCTTCTGCAATCTCTCACAAAATATTTTTACTCTTCTTTAATTATGCTTTGTTCATATTATTTTCTTTAATTTATCATATTTATTAATTATAACAGCAGAATAGTGTAATAATATAATATGGCTGAAATATAAAGTATAAAGATATTTTGTTTTAACGTAAAAAGTATCAAATAAAAATTTAAACAATTGATAATTATATTGAAAAGTATTTATCTGTTCTACAGAATTTTCGAAAAAATTCGTTATTACTTCGGCAACTCCAGCGAATCTATACCTATGTCATTCGTCCTGGGATTCTACGTGAGCCTTGTTGTGAAGAGATGGTGGGAGCAGTATAAGCTTTTACCCTGGCCCGATAATCTGGCCCTCTTCATCAGCGCCGCCATTCCTGGAAATGTAAGTAGAACCTGCCCATCGAGAAGAGGTTTCCTTTGTTGGTTTCAAACACGATTAAAAATACAGTGGCGACAAAGCGTTCTTTTTGGAAGGATAATCGCTATTTTTATTCGTAAAAGTTTTGTGCGAAAAACAAAATCATTTTAGAATAAAAAAATTAAACAACTTTTTTAACACGAAATAATTTTTTTTCTGAGCAGACTCGTGGTAACGTTAATAGATGCAACCTTGCTTTGGATAGTCGCTCGTGTTACGTTTGGTCTCATTACGCTAATGAATTGCCATGACACGTTTTGGTGTCGTTAACCTAAGTAGGTGCCAATCCAGTCATGCCACGCCCAGAAGCTAAAAAAATGTAAGGGACGATGATCCTATAATTTCACAACAGGTAGCAAATTTGTCTTTTCATTTTTTCACACAACTAACTAAAAGGACGGAAATTGTATTATTTGCCAAGACCTTGACATAAATAAATATTCTATTTGTATTTATAATTAATTCACTTGTGATAAGTAAGGTAAGACTTGTTCAAGTGATAAAAGTTAATTTTTTCTTCTTTAAATTAAAACGCAACCATTTAGATATAATTGTCTTTATTAGACAAGATTAGATGCTAAAATATATGTATAAGCCATCTTTAATATATATTTCCACTACTTGAAGCATCATTACAATAATCTAATCACTAATACTTAAATTTCCTAAAAGAAATACTGTCTAATTATTTTATGAGACGAAGAGTTTCAATTTCGACAATAAAGGGATTTGGTGCAAACTTCTACTTCTGGTCAATGACTCAGTGTCGGAGTGAAAGTGCAATGTACCGTGGTGAAAAAAAAGGATGAACCTACGCGCGCACGTCAGGCACACATCACACATGCATACATACATTCTTCTTCAATACATATCGATCTATTACTTCAATCGATTTCTATAATAAAATATATATATATATAATAAAATATATATCCATCGGTCATCAAGTGCTATATTCGTGCTACACGCGACTTGCAATCCTCAATTGCTACTAGTATTATACTAATAGAACATAAATTGATCAATGGCCGCTAAATGATTTAATCGTTTCCTTATATGCAATCGCCTTCTTCGCCTTACTCATTTAGATCAGCATTAATTTCATACATCAAACCGCATAGAACGCGCGTCTAGAATGCAACGATTTTCGAAAAAGTTTCAAAAAAAAGTGGTTTGACACAATGTTCCGCCATACATACGGTTATTTCTATTGAAAATATCGTTATAGATCTTTAAACCCGAAACTAGAGAGTCGAAGTGTCGCGTTGCTGCAGAGCATGAAAGAATGTTGGATTAATTTCATGGTTTTCTGACGTTTATTATTACTCACGTGCAATATCAGCAAGAGATATAAGCACTTGTGCTACCGCATAAGTTTTACTGCATTTCCTTGTCTATCTTCTGACTGTCATTCTATCATCTTCACGCGAAAAGCATTATCGCGTTTTTATGTACAGCAACGCGCGTTTCTTCAGCCGATGATTCACAAATTCATTGCGGTCTTTCAATTTGCAGTATGATAACAATTTCGACTTCATCAATAAATTTGCGCAACGTAAAATATCTCGTTTATATTGTAAGTGAAGTCCAATACTTTTGTCTTTATACAAAGCAAAAAATATAAGTACATTTGCATTAAATATCTATACAATTTAACCTATACAATTTAATTTTTTGTAGACATATGTATATATATTTATTTCGTAGACATTTTTTTGTGTTCAGCTCAAATTATTTTACTACGTTTTAGGCTTTAAAAAAAAATTCAAGATCTTTTCAATATCTTTGTTACAAATGTTGTCAAATGGTTATTTAATTTAAAATCTTTGTTTAATAAAAATCGAAATTTGTGCCGAAAAATTTGACAGCAAAATTTCACCTTAAAAAAGGTTCAGTATGTCCAGAAAGGTTAAAATAGTCTTATAAGAATCATAATTTTAAACGATCAAGTTACCATCAAAATTACTTGGATGGAAATTTTAGAGAGATTAAAATTGCATTTGGCGTTTTTCAGACATATTAATGATATTTAAAATTACCGGTTGTTACGTTCTATCGCAAATTTTCGATTCAAAGCGCAGCAATTATGTGCATGCAAAAGCGTGCGTGCAATTGCGTGTACAGTATAGTGAATCTCTAGGAACGACGGATTCCGATGGAATTTTTGCACGTAGGTAGGGGACAAGGTCCTCAGCCACGGAACGAGCCCATGGTTATATACATACACTTGTGGTCATGTAATCGCGTAATACAGAGTGTCCGATTTGTGAATGAACGGTAACAATGGTTAACACGGACTCCTGAACTGTGTCTTTCATTGAAATCTAATTGGAATGCAAACCCCGAGAGACGAGACGATTGTTACTCGGCTGCCACCTTTCCCCGCAAAGAGGATAGTTCACAAGCTGCTAAATCAGGCATTTTTATATGCGCAACGAGTAAGTCGCAGAATTCCGAGGAAGGAGTTGTCTCGTTTTTCGTACGTGCAAGTGAAAAATGACGAAAAGGCCATCGAAAAGACAACGGTGCTGTGGTAACATCGAACAATGATTCGATTCAAAAAAATCAGAATTGCGGAAAAAGAAAGCTAGAAATCGTTTTAAGGATCGTAGAGGATTTTTATTATTCTCTCTTTTTAAAAATATTTTCGATATGCGATTATAACTGTATAATCAATAAAGTTTAGTGTAATCTCTTATAACAGATCTATTATGTATTCGAGAAAGTTTATAAGTCATCGTTGTAAGTGAAGAATGCAAGGAACCTCTGTGGAGGCGAAGTTAATTAATGTGTGATGTATAAGGTATCGATAGTCGTGAAGAACAGATATTTTAATAACCCGACTTCTCTTCGCAATTTATAAATTCAATCTCAAATATTTCCAACCTTTAACTATA